TGCGCACCGACACCTCTCTGCCGCCGTTCTACATCCTCGTGTACGTCGACGACTTGGTCTTTGCCACAGCTGACACTGCTGGACTCGCCTACGTGAAGTCCGAGCTGCAGAAGAGACACACGTGCACTGACCTGGGTGAACTGCGCAGCTATCTTGGCTTGCAGATCACCCGGGACAGAGCACGCCGCACCATTACCCTGACTCAGTCACACATGGTGCAGCAGGTCCTTCAGCGCTTCGGCTTCACGTACTCCTCGCCTCAGGCCACTCCTCTGCCTACTCGCCACTCGCTCTCAGCTCTGCCTTCGGATGAGTCCGTAGAGTCGAGTGGCCCGTATGCAGAGCTTGTTGGCTGCCTCATGTACCTGATGACCTGCACACGACCTGACCTTGCATACCCTCTTAGCATTCTCGCACGCTATGTTGCTCCTGGGAGACACCGACCAGAGCACATGGCTGCAGCGAAGAGGGTGTTGCGCTACTTGTGCAGTACGTCGGGCATGGGGCTAGTGCTTGGAGGGCGCAGTCCAGTGGTCCTCACTGGGCACGCGGACGCTTCTTGGGCTGACGACCAGGCTACGCAGCGGTCGTCACAGGGTTACACCTTCAGCCTTGGTTCCGGCTCTGTTTCGTGGCGGGCTACCCGCTCGTCTTCTGTTCTCGGCTCCAGTTGTGAGGCTGAGATCTACGCCGGGGCTATGGCTGCACAGGAGTTACGCTGGCTCACCTACCTGTTGACCGACCTTGGAGAGCAGCCTCGTTCTCCTCCAGTCCTGTACGTAGACAACAAGGCCATGCTGGCCTTGTGTCGAGAGCAGAGACTGGAGCACAGAACGAAGCACATTGCTCTCCGCTACTTTCTTGCTCGTGAGCTACAGCAGCGTGGACAGTTGCGACTTGCGTACGTGGCCTCTGAGGCCAACACTGCTGATGTCTTCACCAAGGCACTTGCGCCTTGTGATCATCAGCGTTGTTGCACGCAGTTGGGTCTTGTGCCTGTCTTGCCTCACTTGCTCTCCTCTTGACCTTGCTTGTACCTTCGCCTATATATACTCTTGCTCTTGCTTACTTGACTTTTGTATATCTCTATATATGATCTTGCATGTGAACTGGCCATGTGGCCTTGCACTTGTGCTCGGAATGTGTGGTGACTTTGTGATCCACCCTGAGCTTTGCTTTGCTTTGCTTGACTGGTCTTGTGACCCCTTGTTCTCCCCCACTTTGCCTATGGGGGTGTGTCAGAACTATATAGCTTATACTATTGTGTAGGCTATAGTGGGGTATCCCATAGGGGGTACAACCCAATTAGGGTTTCCTATTTGTACTCACTTCTTTCATAGTCATTCCATTCTCGTTCTCTCTTTCACATCGCGCCTCTCACTTTGGTGCCGTCAGGGCGCAGGAGTGCACCAGGTGCGAACACGCCAGCTTCGATGCAATTTTTCAGTGTGACGCGCGAAGGGTGACCGAGGCGCTGGTGCCAGATTGCATCGTCAGCACGGAATCCAGAAGTGCACATGTAGCGCGCGCGTGCTGCTTCAGGGTCTTCTTCAGGTGCTGGGGTAGGTTCCGCTGCTGCCTCTTCTTCTTCCTCTTTGTCGTTCTCCGCGGTCAGCATCAGCGCAAGAAATTCTCTGTCGCGAATGACGGAGTAGGGGATGTTGGTCCCTGGGATTTGTGAGAGTACGACGGCTTATGCCAGCTATGCTTGCTTGCCTTTACTTTATCATGCTATTTCTAGCATAGGATAATTATATGCATGCATGAATTGCTTGATTTCCTAGGCTAGGTGCTTTCCTATATTTTATTATAGTTATAGCACCGAGCTAGGTTGCGTGCACCGAATTCTGGCTTTTCGGTTGCCACCGAATTGCCTTCTACCGAATTCGGTAAGGATCTGTTCGGGACGCTTCGCGACCCGCGGAACCTTCGCGTAACACCTGGTTACGGGGCCTTATGTCGAGCCTATATATAGCCTCGTGTTGTACCCAGGTGGACATTCAATTCAATTCAATTCGACTCAATTCTCATTCTCTTTTCTGAACTCGATCCTAGATCCCCACACTTGGTAATCAGAGCGGGTTTACACGCAAGGTCTTCAACCGCTTAGTTCCGGCCTTTAAAAACCGCGGGGGCGACGACAAAAGCGCCGATACGGGTATGTAAAGCCAGTTCCGCGCAATTTTTCAAAGTCCCCCTCGATTCGGTTTTCGAATACCCCTCAGATTTACTGGTGGAAAGGTTGGAGTTTCGACCGTTGGATCGAGTTTCATCTCAACGGCCCAGAGAATTTCGCCCAAAAAAGTTGGAATTTGGAGCGTCGGATCGATTTTCTCCTCAACGGCCAAGATCGGACGCGAATTTCGCCTAAGGGAGATTTACGCAACCTACAGAATTCGCGCTCGTCGATTCTACAGTCAATTTGACTCGCAGTAAGTCGACCAGCACCTAGAATTCGATTATTTTCGTCGCGCATCTTTCTGTAAATCACCAAATGGAGGGCCAAGGCGACAACTACGCGACTACGAGCAACATCGCGAGCCTCCGCACCGACATAGAGCAGACGCAGGCGACGCTTCGTCGACTCGAGGCTTTTCTGACAAGCCAACCAGGGTTCGCCACCGCAGCAGCAGCGACCACAGCGACTACGACACCGACATTTTACGGACCAATGGCACCACTGTTGTCGAACCTCGAAGCAGCACGACCGAGGCTCCCGGAGGCGTTCGATCCAAGCGCGAAGGGATCCGACGTCCGGCGATTCGTGGCCACCCTCGAAATTTACTTCGAGACCATTGGGTGTTCGACCCCGCAACACGACGCAACAAGGATTCGGCTCGCAGCGACACTGTTACGTGGACCGGCTCTCGAATGGATTTACTACACCGACGTAGCCCGCGGGGAGAAAACGTGGCAGCAGTTTCGGGCAGATTTAATCGAGCGTTTCGAACCAATTAATACAACCTACATGGCGCGGCAGCAGATACACCGACACAAGCAATACAGTAGTGTAACACAGTACACGCAGCAGATGGAGTTACTGTTCAACCGCATCACCGACCTGACCGAAGGCAAAAAAATCCAGGCGTACACCGAAGGATTAAAAATGGAGATTCGGCGGCAGGTGATTGCGGCAAATTACAACAGCTACAGAGACATCGTGCGTGCTGCCGAGCGATACGACGCGCTGACTCGAAGTCAACCCGAAACACGACGCTTCACGCCGAACCGTACATTCGGCACGGAGCGATCGGCACCCCCCACGTTCACCGAACCGATGGATATCGACAAATACGCAAGAAGCAGCAGCCGACAAAATGCGAATTTTGCGGCGCAGCAGGACATCAGTTTTTGTCGTGCTACAAAATGAAGAAAGTACGTGCGGCACCCCGGGACGGAAACAGTGGAGCACCCCCGAAGTAAAAAAACGGGAATCGCCAGTAGCCGCGGATCGACCTGGCGATCGCGTAAAGATCCGAAAAGCAGGAAAAGGCGACGACGTGGCGACTTCGGAGCGGGTGAAAAAAGGAGAAAATGATGGCGCAAATTTAAAACGTCACGACCGGCCGGCATCAGGGGAAATCGCCGAGGCGAATGGAGGCTCCGCGAAAAAAGACTCTGCACCGACCGGGAAACACCAGCCGAACACCCACAAAAGTAAGAATTCGTTAAAAGTATCCTATAAAGATGCTCTAACGAAGAATATTGCTTCTCGTGGTTTACAAGCCTTCAAAAAATTCAGGGGAGGTCTAGAGGCCAAGAAAAAGCCTTTAGAAATTATTCAGGTACCTGAGAAGTTGGGCAAAATACTACGGAGCGTAGAGAAGGGTTGTGCGTTCCGTGGAGTTAATATTCTCTCCCCGCAGCACAGTGTTAAGGCTCCCCGTCGCCCACAGGTGAAGCCTACACAGCTGCGAAGGCTTAGAGGAGACATCGAGGCTCAGGAAAAATTATACAAGCCTCGGAAAAATCCTCCTACCCCCCAGGTGAAGTTGGAAAGCGCTGAGTCAGGTATAGGAAAAAGGGAAGGTATTAAGTTTGATGTACCCTATGATCCTGTTAGCGAGACCCTCTTTGGCTACTCAGCACAGCAGAAACCACTACTCCTCGAGGTGTTATGCAAGGGGCGACGCCTCCAGGCACTGGTGGACAGCGGTGCATCTCACTCGGTGTGTGACCGCGGAGCATTGGAGAAAATTGGAGAGAAGGCGGAAGAGACCCAGTTTTCAGCAACCATGGTGGACGGTACGAAGCTTCCTATCCACGGCGAAGCATCACTGCAACTGCATATAGGTGCGTTGAGGTGGAAGCCGAAGCTACCAGTCACCAACATCAAAGGATTATATTTTATCTTGGGGCGAGATTTCCTGAAGCGGTTCAACCCCGAGATCGATTGGGTCAACAGCAAGGTGTGCATCTACAACAATGGGAAGCGGATAGCACTGCGAAGCTGGACGGATACAGGGGACGTACCTGAAACGACACTGGCACGGTTCGAACAGACGGTGAACAAGAGTAACACGGGTTACCTAGCACTGGTTATGGCAGCAGCAGAGGAGGAGAAGCCGAGTTCCGAGCTACCTGCAGCAGTGAAAGAGGTCTTGGAGCAGTACAAGGATATAATGCCCGACGACCTACCTGCAGGCGTACCTCCAGCACGCACCCACGAGCACGAGATCGTGGAGAAACCAGGTGCGAAACCCGTCTCACGTGCACCATACCGACTGAGTCCGATTGAACTGACAGACATGAAAAAACAGATAGAGTATCTACTGGACAGACAACTGATCCGCCCATCCACCTCTCCCTACGGCGCACCAGTTCTCTTCACTCCAAAACTAGACGGCAGTCTATGGATGTGCATCGACTACCGCGCACTGAACAAACAGACAGTCAAAAACAAATATCCCATACCGCGCATAGACGACCTACTCGATCAACTGCGTGGAGCAACAGTATTTTCGAAGCTGGACCTACGATCGGGCTACTGGCAGATCAAGATGGCAGACAACTCCGTCCACAAGACAGCGTTCCGTACCAGATACGGCTCCTACGAATACTTGGTGATGCCGTTCGGACTCTGCAACGCACCAGCAACGTTTCCGGCGGAGATGAATCACATCTTACGACCCCTGCTGGACGAATGCGTGGTGGTGTACCTGGACGACATTCTCATCTATTCCAAGAACATGAAGGAGCACGTGGAGCATCTGCGGAAGGTGTTCGAGATCTTGCGGAAAAACAAGTTCTACGTGAAGCTGTCAAAGAGCGACTTCGCCCTGAAGAAGGTGCAGTTTCTCGGGCACATGGTGAGTGCCGTGGGCGTACACGTGGACCCACGGAAGATCGAAGCCGTCAAGAAGTGGAAAGTACCAGAGAACGTGAAGGAGTTACAGCAGTTCCTAGGCTTCGCCAACTACTACAACAGGTTCGTGCCGCAGTACGCTAAGATAGCAGCGCCACTAACCGACCTACTGAAAAAGGATACGCCCTACAAATGGGATACCCTTCATCAGCAAGCCATGGAGCACCTACAGACAGCACTGACTACAGCGCCAGTACTCATCTTGCTGGATCCAGACAAGGACTACGTGGTGGAAGCAGACGCTAGTGACCAAGCAGTCGGAGCAGTAGTGATGCAGGATCACGGACGCGGTTTGCAGCCCATTGCCTACCTCAGTAAGAAGCTACAAGGAGCATAACTAAACTACCCCATTCACGACAAGGAAGCCTTAGCGATAGTCATAGCCTTCAAGGCACGGAGGTGTTACCTAGAGGGAGCCAAGACTACAGTCTATACTGACCACTGCAGTCTCAAATACCTGAAGTCACAACCGACACTCTCACGACGACAGGTGCGGTGGGTGGACTTCCTGGAAACTCACTTCCACTACGACATCGTCTACAAGCCCGGGCTACACAACAAGGCAGACGCGTTGAGCCGCCCCGGACATGTAGCAGGCATCCAGCTCGACCGGATGAACCCTCTGCTCAAGGGTCTATTCCAACATGGGTACTTCGTGGACGCAGAGATAACTACAGCACAGACCAAGAAGCTATTACAGTGGGAGAAAGACTTGGCTGTAAGGAAGGGTTCAGGAAAGATTTGGGTACCGAATTACGCCCCGCTACGGCAGATCCTATTGGAGGAGTTTCACGACGTACCTTACGCGGGACATTTCGGGAGCAACAAGACGCTAGCAGGGATAGCGAAGTATTACTACTGGCCCGGGATGGCAGCAGACGTGCAGCAGTTCGTCACCTCTTGCGACACGTGCCAGCGGATGAAGAGCAGCAAGCAGAAAAAAGCAGGGTTACTTCAGCCTCTACCCGTACCGGAGCAGCCATGGCAGGTCGTTAGCCTCGACTTCATCACAGGACTTCCTTCGACCTCACGGGGACATGATTCCATCCTCGTGGTGATCGATAAGTTCTCCAAAATGGGTCACTTCATACCGACCAACGCCACAGCTACAGCTGAAGCAACTGCTCGACTCTTCTTCGACCGCATCATCACCATCCACGGCATCCCCGCTACACTCATCTCAGACAGAGACCCCAAATTCACGAGTAAGTTCTAGAAGGAGCTCATGGGACTGTTGGGGACAAAGCTTGCAATGTCTTCAGCATACCACCCCCAGACTGACGGACAGACAGAGCGACTCAATCAAGTGGTTGAACAGTTACTGCGCACAGCTTGCAAGGACAACGCCAGCCACTGGGACACACAGTTACCGACCCTAGAGTTCGCTTACAACAACGCATCACATGCGGCCACTGGGAAAACTCCTTTCTTCCTGTGTTACGGACGGGAACCACTCACACCACAGCAGCCAACTACACCGGCACACGTCCAAGCCGCACATGACTTCGTCACTACCATGCAGCAGCTATGGGAGAAGACTCAGCGACGTGATCACTCAGTAGCAGTCGGAGATCAGGTGCTTCTTGACACGCGCAACTTGAACCTGTCTCACCTCCCATCCAAACTCCGGCCTCGCTTCTGTGGTCCTTTTCTCGTTGAGGCACAGGTGACACCAGTTACATTCCGCTTGCGCTTACCAGATACGTGGAAGCTTCACAATTCTTTCCATGTGCAGCTACTGAATCCCTACAAGGACCCCAACCAACTGTTCAAGGGATGGCAGCTACCGCCACCTCCACCTGTTCTTGTACAGGATGAACCCGAGTACGAGATCGAGCGCGTCCTCTCTCATCGGCGCCGCGGCGGCAAGACCCTCGAGTTCCTGATACGCTGGAAGGGATACGACCCCACTGAGGACAGTTGGGTTGCAGAAGCTGATATGGGCAACGCACGCCGTGCTCTCAAGGACTATCTTGTCAAGCAGGGTGTATCTCACGCCACCCAGCTTTGAGGGGGGGACGTGTGAGAGTACGACGGCTTATCCCAGCTATGCTTGCTTGCCTTTACTTTATCATGCTATTTCTAGCATAGGATAATTATATGCATGCATGAATTGCTTGATTTCCTAGGCTAGGTGCTTTCCTATATTTTATTATAGTTATAGCACCGAGCTAGGTTGCGTGCACCGAATTCTGGCTTTTCGGTTGCCACCGAATTGCCTTCTACCGAATTCGGTAAGGATCTGTTCGGGACGCTTCGCGACCCGCGGAACCTTCGCGTAACACCTGGTTACGGGGCCTTGTGTCGAGCCTATATATAGCCTCGTGTTGTACCCAGGTGGACATTCAATTCAATTCAATTCGACTCAATTCTCATTCTCTTTTCTGAACTCGATCCTAGATCCTCACAGGATTGTTCTAGGGATTTATCAGAAATCTTTCTATGTGCCTGAATTGAATTTGAACATGCGCTTCGACCAACGGAGGTAGAGATAGTCAGTTGCAGGTCTACCATTGTTAAATTAGTGTTATTTGAAAAACACGAGCTTAATAGTCCACTCACGAAGACAAGCTCTGTAACATTTTTTATGTGTGCAGGGTTTAGAAGAGGTAGTTGTAAGGAAAAATCCTTTTCCTTACTTCGCGTCTCTGCTCAGCGCGTACACCACTGTTCCCGCCAACAACACCCAACAGTAATCGGTTACCACACGAGACACTCGCCTCGACACTGTTCCCGCCACTGGTCACGACGCGAACCAACCTCACGGTTTGGTTGGTAACCCGCGCTCCGGACCTTCGCCTTGACATTTCCCAACCTCGGCACTAGGCCGTTACTACTGTAGTTTTGCTATATATTCCCCGCTCAAGCCTTAGCTCATTGTACTCTTGCTTCGATAGTGCAATTCTCGCTTATTCACTCATATTGCACTCGTAACACTTGGTATCAGAGCCTACGATCTCTTCTCGGACCGCACCCACACCTTCGCTTCCCCACTATCTCAATTTTTTGGGGGGGGGGGGGGGGGGGGGGGGGGTAGACGTCTCTCAGCGAAACAAGCACCGCCGGTCGTATTTCTCTTTTGTAAGCACGCACGGCCACGACAGAGGCTCTTGTTGAGCTTGCCCGACACCCCCGCCATGGCCGAATTCACTCTCGCGACACTAACGCAGGAGCAACTCGACCGTCTCGTGCGCCAAATCGAAGACTCGGCGCTCAAAATTGCGACGCTTACGGCGGAATGCGACTCCACTCGTCAACAATCCACGGTGAATGCTCCAGCGCCATCACACGCACCTGCAAATGCACCTGCACAATCGGAGGAGCCGATCGTCATTTTATCAAGCACACCGACACAACACGACACCGTGGGACAGCACTCAGGCGCAGCCAGTGATGGCGCCGCTCAATCGATGCCTGGCATGGAGAGAAACAGGGCCGCGCCAAGTTTATGGGAGTTTTGCGAAGCCCGATAGCACATGGAATTTGCAGCGACAAGTGGCGACCACGCCAAAATGGCACCAATGCCACTCAAGCCGGCGCGCCCGCCCTGTTTCGACCGAGCCAGCATGAAGGTCCAACGGTTCAATCGTGGGTCTTCACGATGAACGTCTTTTTCGACGCAAACTACGTCAAGTCGGACGCAGCGAAGATCCGATATGCCGTCTCGCTGCTAAGGGGCCCCGCCATGGACTGGTGGCGAGTCATCGTGACGTCGCCACGTGCCTACGAACCACCGTCGCATGAGGAAGGGCCCACGAGGCCAGCCGTCACCTGGAGTGTTAGAGACTAAGGACGGAGTTTATGAAGATTAGGTGCCTAGATTTCTCAAAATCGTTGGTCTCAATTTCTGGACAGAATAGTCGCGCTCACAAGAAACGCCGTCGACAAAAACTTCACGATTAAAACTTCATTAAACTCAGATATGATGTAGCCCTAGTCCGTGGCTACAATTCCCAATTTGAATCGTATCAAGAGATGAAGTAAATCTCGACTTATCAATTTCAGCGCACAAGGGGGTATGCTGCCATAAGAACTTACTCAATCACAAGAGTCTCGCAAGTTCACAATTACTACACAAGAGAGTTAGAGTAGCACTAAACCAGGTGGAAGGGATGAGGGGGATGAGAGGGAAGGTCCCAAGAGAGTCCCCAACCAAGGAAACCCCATGCCACACAATTCCCTTCCCCATAAGCAACCCAACTTTGACCTTTGTCACTATCCCAACCTCCGCAATCCACTTCAACCCAACTTGGCCACACTTACCAGCCTGGTTTGGTTTCTCCCAACCATTTGGCAGCAACTACAGTAGAAAATACGAATTTCCCAACCCCCAAAAGTCTGTACCCCATATTGAGTCAACCCCACAACTTCCCACAGTTGCCACAATCAAATCTGAAAAGCATACGAACTCCAACGTTCGTAACTTTCTTGTTTGTGCTCCCATTGAAGCGATTCTTGGTTCGTCGGAAAGCTCTTGAGCAGAGGAGTCACTTCAGATATCTGCTCAAGCCAAATAACATTCACACACACTCAGAAAAAACAAACCGCACAAAACACAAATTCTTGCACACGCTCACACCACGCATTCAACGCACGAACATGTGATGGGAGGCAGACAGACGTGAATGCAAGTGATAGCATCACATAACATGGAGTTCATTTTGCAAAACCGCCCAGTATAGCACGTGGGATGCGTGGTGCGCAGAGCTTTGGGCGCGCTTCGAGCCCATTGCGGCTTCCATTTCGGCGCGCCAGAGGCTGCGTACTTGGCGGCAGCTTGGATCGGTTCAAGTTTACACGAGCGGTTTTCTCGCATTATGCAAGCAAGTCGGCTACATGCACGAAGCAGAGCGGATGGACCGCTACGTCGGAGGGCTGAAGCCGGACATCTCCCACAAAATCATTCTACTCGGGCTCTCGAATTTCAACGAGATCCTCGCGCTCGCCGAGAAAATCGACATTTTACGCCGACCGAGGCCGGGGTCCTACTACAAACATTGCCCTCGTGGACCAATCGAGCACGCCACCGTACATGCCGTTGCGACAAATGCAGCTGCCGCGCTGTTTAAAGGGCGCTGCTTTTCTTGCAATAGGCCGGGCCATCGCAAGAGTGAGTGCCCAGAGAAGCTAGGCGCCGCGGAGCAGAGCAGGGGAGGGAGTCTACAAGGCAGGGAAACACTAGTAGTCAGTAGGAATCGAGCCAACTACTGACGAGACTGCCTGGTTGCCCAACCTCACCGACCCTCACCGAGTCACAGTACCGATTCATGTCATCGATCGGGCTCGGACGAATAAGGAGGGTACAGCGACGGATTGCCCAGTACTGATCCACGAGAAAATACAAGGAGCAGCAGTGAAGATTTTTATAGACGGAGGAGCAAGTCACAGTTTAGTTAATACCGCGACCGCACGGAAGCTGCAGCTGGCACTTAGCCAGTGTTTACTAGAGATAGATGCATGCTTAGTTGACGGCACACCGCTGGCCATATGGGAGAAGGTGGAGAAAGTAAAAGCCGCTGCGGGGGGGAACTTCGGATTTACACAGGAAATGTTCGCGACGACACTGGATGGGCACGACATTTTACTGGGACGTGATTGGCTGCGACGGTATAACCCGCGAATTGACTGGACGAAGGGTAGCTACACTGTGCGAATTAGTGGTAACTGGGTTGAACTACCTTGTCGGCAGTCGCCTGGGTCTTCAACGGTCCAAGTCAATGCCATCACAATGAAATGAGCTGTCGCCGCTGGAGCTGACGTGTACGCAGTGGACATCGAAGTGGTAGAGGAAACAGAGCAACCGAGCGATTTCAAGAAACTGCTGGCAGCGGTACCGCCCAAGCAACAGGAACTGTTGAAACAGTACCCGGGGATTTTTCCGGACGACTTACCGGAAGGACTGCCACCTCAGCGAGCACACGACCACCGAATAGAGTTAGAACTCGGGGCACAACCAACCATACAGCGACAGTTCAGACTGACACAGCCTGAGCTCGACGAAATGAGGAAGAAGTTAGATTACATGTTAGACAAGGAATTCATCCGACCGAGCTCGTCACTGTTCGCCGCACCGATACTGTTCACACCGAAAAAAGACGGAGGGTTTCGCATGTGGATCGATTACAGAGCACCAAACAGGGGAACACTCAAGTCTCGATACCCCATTCCCCGCGCGGATGAGCTGATAGATCAAATGTAAACAGCACGGGTCTTTTCAGAAATCGATTTACAGGGGGGTTACCATCAGATTCGAGACGAACCATCGGACTGCGCCAAGACAACTTTTAGGAGTAGGTATGGGTCATTCGAGTACACCGTCATGCCATTCGGGCTGACCAACGCATTGGCGACCTTTCAGATGACCATGAACGAGGCGTTTAAGCCACTTTTAGACAAATGCGTGATAGTTTACCTTAACAACATCCTCGTCTACAGTCGCGATAAGCAGCAGCACTTAGCAGACTTGGAAGCAGTATTTAAAATCTTAGACGAGCACCAGCTGCTGACGAAAGGTTCCAAGTGCGAGTTTTTCAGGAAAGGCTAGAGTTTTTGGGGCACGTTATTTTGGAGGCTGGGGTTGAGATTGACCCGAAGAAGCTGGACATGGTAAAATCCTGGCACCCCCCAACAAATATAACGGAGCTGCAGAGTTTTTTAGGGTTTGTAATTACGTGTGTCGGTTCGTCCCTGACATGGCAAAATTGACGGCACCACTGATGGATTTGCTGAGAATGGGGGCCGCTTTTACATGGGGGGAGAAAGAGCATGCTGCCCTCTCTGCCCTAAAAACTGTTCTCTGTTCACCGCCCGTACTGCGCATCGCCGACCCACACCGCCCATTCGAAGTAGTTACTGACGCAAGTGATATCGCCATCGGAGCCGTACTGCTACAGGATTTCGGCAACGGTTTACAGCCAATTGCCCTGCAACCGCCCAGCCAGCATGACCCGACCACCAACAGAACCAATCATCACGCCCAAAAAAATCCTGAGCCACTAAGTCCGCGACCCACTGGGAGCCTGAAGGATCTAATTTCTGATCCGCTGGAAAGACCGCACGCCCACTGAAGACAGCTGGGTTCCCCTGGATAGAGTTGAAAGCCACCCCGTCCTTACCGAGTACCTGCGCAGCCGGAACTTCCGGGTTGTACACGCGCTTTCGTAAGGAGGGCCTCCTTAGGGGTGGGGGTAGTGTAAGGAAAATTCCTTTTCCTTACTTCGCGTCCCTGCTCAGCGCGCACACCACTGTTCCCGCCAACAGCACCCAACAGTAATCCGTTTCCACACGCGACACTCGCCTCGACACTGTCCTGCCACTGTTCACGACGCGACCCAACCTCAGAGTTTGGTTGGTAACCCGCGCTCCAAACCTCCGCCTCGACATTTCCCAACTTCGGCGCTAGGCCCGTCGCGCACCCCATTTTCCACACATTACCGTTACCACTGTAGTTTTACTATATATTCTTCGCTCATGCCTTCGCTCAGTGTACTCTTGCTTTGATAGTGCAATTCTCACTCGTTCACTCAAATTGCACTTGTAATAGTAGTACTGTTGCGAAAAAAGTTATTCCCAGGTGTAACAAACACTGCCGGCCTAATTGCAGGATGATCGCGATAAGGCACATCACGTTGCTGGGGTTTGTACTAGCTCAGGGTTCTTTTCAAGTCACGTCTAAAGCTTTTCTGCGTAGGTTACGGAAAAGGCAAACAAAAATTCATCATCGTTGCAATGCAGCAACGGACGAATAATTCACAACGCCGACCTCATCATCTCGATTGCGTATGCGACTCTTGTTCTGCTCGTGCTCAGGTGGACATCGCTGGGCGCTGGTCATCCGAGGTGACCACTTGACGTGACAATACCATCATGTGGCTTGGCTTGGGGACAAACTGCGGATCACCAGCGCCGGAGCTGACTCGAGCCACTCCGAATCCCCCTGGCCGGGGAGCCAGGCTGCCAACGGAATCTGGACGTCACGCGGGCTGAATTCTTTAGCAGACTCGAAGACAATGTTGCAGATGCCTACTTGTGGTTGTAAGGGGCCGAATCATGCAGCTGGCGAAGGCGATCACGGCCCAAGACTTTTTCTCCGACTGGACCTCGGTCAGGAATTACTCAAAGTATGTCGGGACGACCCCGGAAAATCTCCGGCGAACATTTTGAGCATCTGTTTTCGATTGTCTCTATGCTGCGTGCGAGCGCCCCCCAGTCCCATCCCCAGCCCCCCTTCCCCAATCCCATCGCCAGTCCAATCGCCAGGTCAGCTCCCTCGCCTCCCTGTGCGTCCTGTGCACCGCCCGCTGAAGCCTTCGCCAATAGTTATGCATTATGATAAGGTGTCACGTCACCCCGCCAGAAGCGGCAAGGCTTGTGCTAGAGTCTTCTCTCTGGGTGCAAGTCTGCCATTACTGAGAGTTTCTTTTCCACTGACTGCTGTCACGGGCTCTCACCAGGCTGCTGCTTCTCATAGCAAACCGCTTCCATTACTCTCAATATCTATCACGGGCTCTCACCAATATCTGACGGAATCTGTGATGGTGATACGCGCCAACATTGCTAGTGGTTGCCGGCTGTTGCTGGTGGTTGTTGCCGTCTTCCTGACGGTTTCTGTGAAGGCCGTACCCATCAAATTCGAGGTTGAACTAGTTGAAAATGCTGGTGAGGAAAGAAGGCCACCACGCTCCACCACGCTCCACTGCTCCCTTCAGTCCACTCAAGAGCCACCTCGTTTTCTTCTTGACGATTTACGTCAATCCACCCACCCACCGTTAACCAGCTATGATGGTGTTGCTTTTGAAAATTCTCATGAGAAACACCCACCGAGGTGAAAGGTAGCCATGTCCGTCACACCCCTTTAACTTCCCCTTACTTCCCCTTCCTTACCCTTCCTTCCCCTTCCTTCCCCTTCCTTCCCCTTCCTTCCCCTTCCTTACCCTTCCTTTCCTTATTTTCTCCTCCCCCTTCCCCATCGTTCCCCTTTCTCACCCCTCCTTTCCCCCTAATTCCTCCTCCCCCTTCCATGAACCGTGATGATTACTCCCAGCAGAGATCAACGGCCAGAATTTTCCGAGCCGCCATCTGGTGGGCAGGGTGGGAGAGTTCGAAAGCGAGCTCAAATTTTCCCTCCCGGTGCATTTGAGGTCGGTCAATGGTACTTGCTAGAGCAGTTCAATCAGTTGGCCATTACTTGCTGAAGCCTTTCATCACTTGGCACAGACCCACCCACACACACACACACCCACACCTACACACACACACATACACACACTCACACCCATACACACACACACTCACACACATACACACACCCACACACCCACCCACCTTCCCCCCCCCCATCCACACACACACGCACACGCACACACCCACACCCACCCACCCACACCCACCCATACATACACAAACATACACCCACGCACACGCACACACCCACACCCACCCACCCACACATACACAGACACACACCCACGCACACACCCCCACACACACTCCCCCCCCCACACCCCCCCCCCACATACACACGCACATACACGCTCGCGCGCACACACACGCACATACACGCTCGCGCACACACACACCAACCAATACACATACCCACCCACCCACTCACACATACCCACACACCCACACCCACACGCACACACACGCAAACACACACCCACACACCCACACCCTCGTGACGAGTTGACTTTTGGGTCGGCTCAAAAGTAGTCGCTCTGTTCATCCATTCACCCAACAACGCCCGGCAGGCATCACCTGGAGCGAGCGAGTCATCCTTGTCTCTTGCCCGCGCGGATGCCCTCTCAACGCCTCACACGTGCCCAACATGGCAACATCCTACCTCTTTCCCCCTCCCTCGTTCCCCCATTCCTCACACCCCCCCCTACCCCCCCTCCCCGCTCCCTCCTCCCTCCCTCCCGCTCAATCACGCTAGGCATCACCCGGAGCGAGTCAAGCTTGTCGCTCGTCCACTGGGATGCCCTCTCGACGCCTTCCGCCTGCCCAACGCCTTTCCCCTCTCTCATTCCCTCCATTCTTCACGACCCCTCCCTCCCGCTCAATCACGCCAGGCATCACCCGGAGCGAGTCAACCTTGTCGCTCGCCCGCTAGGGTGCCATCTCGACACCGCTCGCCTTCCCCTCATCTTCATGGGCTTCTTCGAAAGCCTCCCTCTCCGCAAGCCTTGGCCCGCAAACTTTGCCGGCACTCCAATCGAACCCGGGAGCGACCTTTCATGTGTCACTTTAGGTGCCATTTCAGGTGGCGGTTCAAGTGACGGTTTGAGTGGCGGTTCCAATGGCAGTTCAGGAAGCAGCTCAAGTGGCAATTTAAGAAATGGTACCCGAAACGCCACAAGTGCTGCAGTGGACAGTGCTGCAGCAGATAGTATCCCAGGCGATTCAGACTGGGTGAAGAAGCTCGGGTGCCACGGCCCTCCCTGTCCCTCCTTCGGCTCATGCACCGCCCGCTTCCCCAACGTGCAGGCCTGCTGGAACCCCCACCTTGTGGACGAACTCGAGACTGAAATCAGCCCCCCTATAAACTGCCCCCTTAAAGGGGACAGCACCGTGTTCGACGAGACGTGCTCGAAGAGGAAGGATGTCGTGCGGCACGATGTGAGCGCGCTGCAGGTGATGTGGCTGGAGGATGTGTTTGTGACCGGCAACGGAGTGAATCTCAACCGCACTCACGCGTTCGTGAGGAACGGGTGCTCTCGCTTCCCCGGAACAGTGAGAGCTGGCTGTGTGGAGGGAGGGATGTGAGTGAGTGAGAAGGGATGCAGAGGAGGGAGAATTGCGTGGAGGGTTGTCTGTGTGTGTGCGGAGGTTGCTTCTGCGATGAGACAGTGTTTTTTTGCAAATGGCACATGACAAACCTCTTGCAATGTTCATTCTGGCATAGATGCGCATTTGTGATTCTGCCATACGTGCGGTGTACTCCCTCTCAACAGGCCCTCAGCACCTTCGGCTGTGTGAGTCGACTCGACATACACCATGTTATGCAGTCCCTTCCTTTCCCTATCACCACCAGGCAAAGTATGAGGCAGTGCACATTGTTCACAAACTAACTTCACCCATGTTCAACTGGGCGCACCAACCTGGCAACAGCCTTAACGACTGCCTCGTGTTGCACACTGTACTGCACTCCCTTCCCTTCCCAATATCCACCAGGCCAAGTATGAGGCGACGCACATGGTGTACGAGCTGCCGGCATTGTTCAACTTAGCGCACCAACCAGGCAACAACTTCTACCACTTTCTCGTGGAGCTCGTTCCTCTCTTCCTCGTCTCCACGCCCCTCATGTCGTCCATGCTGCAAAACGTGCCTGTACTTGTCAGGCAAACACAGGTGGGTTTTGATGGAGTCGGGTCAAGCAGCGCTGCCGCCTGCATGCTTTCGAGAGATATCAAAGCTTAATCGAAGCACCTGCGCTCCAGGCGGCCATGTATGGCATGATTCGATCGAGCACTTGCGCCGCTCGTCCTCTCTGCTGCAGCGCCTGCCCAAGCTCGCTAGGGCGTTCAAGGTGGGGTTTCACCCATGCGTGTGCATGCAGCAGCCGTTGTAGCTGTTGCGCCCTGCTGCATTCTGCTGCACCCTGTGCTGCCGTGTAACCTTTCCGCAACCTTGCTCTCACACATTGTCTGGACTGGAAAATGATTTCCATTCCATCTCATGCCCTTGCTCTTGCCCCTCCCTGCAGGTGCGTTGGTACGAGCAGCTGGGCGCTCCACTCATTGGCATCCCCACACATCATAGTCGCCTGCTGCCCACATTCGCTAACGATCTCTTTCACGCCGATATGGTGTACAAGGTAGGCCATGCATGGCATGGAATGACATGGCATGAGTAGTGGCCAGGTAGTCTATATCTTCACATGCCATACCATGCCCTGTCATGCCATGCTTGTCATTCCATGCCATGCCCTGCCATGCTTCCAGGCCATGCCATGCTATCCCATCTAATGCCATGCCATGCTATCCCATCTAATGCCATACCATTCTATCTCATCCCATGCCATCCCATTCCATGCCATGCTATGCCATCTCACATCACACCTTCGCATGTCTTCCAACCGTCCCATTTCCCCTCTCACTCTTCCCCCACTCCCTCCCACTCCCCCACCTCCTCACCTCCCCACCTCCCCATCCCCCAGCCCATACTCCAAGACTGTGACCGCCCCAGCAGACCCCTCTGGCAGATGCTGTGGCGCCGCCATCTGCTCCACCCCTCCGGCATCATTCTCTTCAACCCCGACTGGACCTACCACAGCCACCGCCCTCTCTCCCTTGCTGAAGCGCACTCCTTCCCCCACGATTGGGTGATTGTGCTCACGAAGCGGCCAGAGGGGCAGCGCCGGGTGATGGAGAATTTCGAGGAGGTGGAGGCGGAGGCGGTGCGGCGGTTTGGGCAAGAGCGAGTGGTGGTGTTTAACGGGTCGCTGTCGATTCTGCAAGGTGGGTCGAGGGAAGGTCTATTCCTGCTGGCTAGACTTTTTCTCGTGCATTTGAGCATTGCAGCCGCGCTTGTGTGTCTTTGGTAGGTGCCTCTTGCCCTCTTTGTTTTCGCCATTTATGAGACGTGGACCTTCGTGCTAGAGTATTATGTACCTAGTTCCTCTGTACCTAGATCCTCCGTGCCTAAATTCTCCGTGCCTAACTCTTCTGTACCTAGATCCTCTGTACCTAGAATGATCCGAGCCAACCATCCTCCCTGCCTAATCCATAGCTCCTCCTTCCTCTCAAATCGCCCCAACACTCTCTCCCAGGTTTTGAGCTCTCTCTTTGAATCAGAATTCACATAGCGAGCTGTGGACCCGGACTTCCATCCCTCCTCTTTCCCCATGCCTCTTCGTCTCAGCCCGAGCACTCCTATCACGAGCTCGCTTCTACATAGTTGCCCACGGAGCGGCCCTCACCAACATAATCTCCATGGCTAACGCCTGTCCTCTTTCCATCCCCCCCCCTCCCCCCGGCTTCCACCCGTCCCCCTCCTCACCCCCAGCCCGTGCACTCCTGTCACGAGCACGTCTCTACATAGCAGCCCATGGAGTGGCCCTCACCAACATGATCTTCCGCTGTAGGAGCCTCTCGTGGTGACCCTCGCACCCCCATCTTTGAGGGGTGTTCTCCTTCCCCCCTTTTGCCCTCTGTCGCCTCTGCCGCTGCGGCGGACCTCGTTGGTCTTGAGTTAGTCGGTGCGGCGTCTGCCCCTAGCGAGAGACGCCGCTCGGGCAAGGGCAAGGGGGGCAAGGGCGCGGGTGGAGCTAGCGGGGGCGGTGGAGGTGGCGGTGGAGGAGGCGGAGGGAGTGGGGGTGGCAGTGGGAGTGGTGGCGGGGGTGGAGGTGTCGGTGGCAGCAGTGGAGGCGGAGGCGGCGGAGGCGGCGGCGGTGCTAGCGGAGGCGGCGGTGGTGGCGGAGGTGGAGGAGGCGGTGGTGGAGGAGGTGGAGGTGGTCGGGGTGGCGCTTCGCAGCGGAGCAGCCCTGGTGGTGGTCAGCGCCAGCAGCAGCAGCAGCAGCAGCGTTCTCGGGACATTCCCCCCCCTCAGCAGCTCCGTGAGTGGTACGCGCAGCGTTAGTGTGGTGGGGGTTTTGGTCCGTGCACCTACGTCCTTCGCTCCGGCGACCGCGCGGGTGAGCAGTGTGGGGGTGCCCACCCCACCCAGCGCTGCTTTGGCCGCCTGACGGACGCTTGGCGTCAGCAGTTCTCGGAGGCCAGTGAGATCCCCCGCTGGAGAGAGCTTTCTAGGGCAGGCGTAGCTATCTATGATCTTGACTTTGATGCTATCCTTGCTGCCATGTATGCTGTGACTATTAGTGATGAGGGTGACTGTTACCGGTGTTTCCCGCCCGACCCGGACATTGGTACTGCTGCTCTAGGTGCTGGTGAGGCTGCTGCTCTAGGTGCTGGTGAGGCCTCTGCTCTAGGTGCCAGTGCGTCTGCGCCCTCAGGTGCTGGTGAGTCTGCGCTCTCAGGTACCACGTCGGCTTCGGCCTCCCTCACCTTCACACTTGACTCAGGGGCTTCTCGCTCCTTCTTTCGAGACCGCACCACACTCACGCCGCTTGGTCGGCCGGTTGCACTCTCCCTGGCAGACCCCTCTGGGGGTCCTGTCCTTGCTCACTTCTCCACTATCCTCCCGTGTCCGGCGGCCCCCTCTGGCACCCTGTCTGGTCTTTACCTCCCCTCGTTCTCTATGAACTTGGTGAGTGGTGCTGACCTGCAGCATGTGGGGGTTCACCAGTTTACTCCTGCGAGTCAGCGGGTGACCCACTGCTCGTACGCTCGCACAGGCCCGCACCTGGCCACATTTACGCGTCGGCTGGGGTCGAGCCTCTACACCCTGACCACTGGGTCTCCTCCTGTCCCTGCGTCTAGCTAGGTAGCTGCATCAGGTCAGGTGTTTGCTGCAGCGTCCAGGTCTGGTCCTGAGTCTGCCCCCTGCTCGTGTCGCCTCCTGTCTCACGAGACTCTCTTGTGGCACCACCGTCTTGGTCACCCCTCCCTGCCTCGTCTCCGAGGCATGGCTTCCCGTGTCCTTGTCTCTGGTCTCCCCCGGTCCCTCCCTCCCCTTCCTCCAGGGCCTGGTCCTTCCTGTGTTCCCTGTGTCGAGGGGCGGCTCTGAGCTGCCCCTCACTCCTCTCAGTTTCCCCCGACAGAGGCCCCGCTGCAGACGCTTCACATGGACGTGTCGGGCCCGGCCCGCGTCCGTGGACAGGGTCACGAGCGCTACTTCCTGCTGGTGGTTGACGACTACTCGCGTTACACCTCAGTCTTCCCCTTGCACAGCAAGGGTGTTGTCACTGAGGTGTTGATCGACTGGATCCGCGGAGCTCGTCTTCAGCTCAGGAGGAGCTTTGGCTCGGACTTTCCTGTTCTGCGTCTGCACTCTGACCGAGGCGGAGAGTTCTCCTCTGGCCTTCTGCGAGCCTACTGCCATGCGCGAGGCATTCGCCAGTCCTTCACGCTTCCGGACTCTCCGCAGCAAAATGGGATTGCTGAGCGCCGCATTGGCATGGTCATGGACGTCGCTCGTACGTCCATGATGCATGCGGTTGCCCCCCATTTTCTGTGGCCGTTTGCGGTTCGGTACGCGGCGCATCAGATCAACCTTCACCCCAGGGTCTCCATGCCGGAGACCTCCCCAACTCTGCTGTGGATGGGGAAGGTAGGCGATGCGTCTGCGTTCCGTGTCTGGGGATCTCGGGCGTTTGTCCGCGACTTGTCTGCGGACAAGCTGTCCCCTCGTGCTGCTCCTTGTGTCTTCCTTGGCTTCCCCCCTGACGCACCAGGGTGGCAGTTCTACCACCCCTCTTCTCGTCGTGTTCTGTCCTCCCAGGACATCACGTTTGACGAGTTGGTCCCCTTCTACCGTCTCTTCCCCTATCGCACTCCTTCCCTCCCCCCGCCGCCGCACTTCCTTGTGCCAGGTCCCCCCCAGGTAGAACCCCTCCCCCCTCAGGGTCCTGCCCCTTCAGGTGTGTCCCAGGTAGACGCAGTCGAGCCGGTCGAGGTTGCTGGTGACTCTGGTACTGTTGCGGGTGCTGAGCCTGGGGGTGCTGACTCTGGGGGTGCTGCGCGAGTGGGTGCTGAGCCTAGGGGTACTGAGCCTGGGGGTGCTACGACTGGGGGTGCTGAGCCTGGGGGTCTTTCGCCTGGGGGTGCTGCGTCTAGAGCTGCTGAGCCTGAGGGTGCTGCGTTTGGAGCTGCTGAGCCTGGGGGTACTGAGTCTAGAGCTGCTGAGCCTGGGGGTGCGGAGCCCGCGGCCGCTGGACCTGCTCTTATGGCGTCTGGCGGTGCTGGGCCTGGTGGTTCTGTGGGTGCTTCGTCTCGGCGGGAGCCACTCTCTCCACAGGAGCTGCGCGAGTGGTTTGCCCGGCGCTGGAGGCGTACTGCTGGAGCTGGTGCTTCTTCGGCTGCTCAGGGTGCTGGTGCCGCCGGTCTCGGAGGTGCTAGCCCTGGGAGTGCTGGAGCTGCTGGGCCTGCGAGTGCGACTGGAGTCGGAGCTGCTGAGGGTGTTGGCGCTGAGGCTGCTGCTGTCAGTCCTAGCGGCGGTCCTGCTGCGGGTGCTGCTTGTGCTGCTGGAGGTACTGGAGCTGGAGGTGCTGTTGGCGCTGGTGCTGCCACTGGGGGTGCTGGTGCTGTCCCTGCTGTGTGTGGAGTCGCCGCGCGGCCTCGGCCGTACTTTGTTCCGCTCCTTCAGCAGGTTCTTGGTCTTTCTCCTCCCTTAGAGTGTCCACCGCCTGTCCAGTCACAGTCACAGTTACCGCCGGCCTCCCCACTGCCTGCTCTTTCTCCCTACACTGGTCCTACTGGAGGTCTTGCTCAGCGTCGTGAGCCTGCGTCTCGTCCTGCGTCACCTGTTCGTGCTGCTCGCGCTAGTGGTCGCGGTTTGCGTCAGCGTCCTCCTCCTGTCCCTGGCATGCACCGGATGTCTCTGCGTCCGTCCACTGCTCCTCTGCGTGCCCCTTTGCCTTCTCCTCCTGAGTCCTCTCTTCCTGCCCTTGCCGACACGGAGTCGGACTCTCTTCGTGCTGCCATTCCTACTGTCATGCGTCTCCTTGCTACTGTCATCACTGACCCCTCTTTTGAGTCCACTGCTGCGTCTGCTCTTGTTGCTGAGCTCGTCGACTTTGCTGCTCGCTGTCGTCTAGACTACGCTGCTAGTCTCGTTGCTGAGTCTGCGTCTGTCTGTCCTCCGTCCGTCGGGGGTGAGTCTGCTCTTGGCACGGACGTCCTTGAGGACAGGCAGGAGGAGTTCCAGTGTCTGGCTGCTGCTTCACCTCATCTCGTGTCCGTACTGCTTACCCCTGAGGGAGACCCGGATGCACTTGACATCCCGACTCCGCGCTCTTACGCGGAGGCCGTAGAGGGTCCCTACTCCTCTCAGTGGCAGGCAGCTATGGATGCAGAGATGGCTTCCTGGAAGTCCACAAGCACCTATGTTGACGCGGTTCCCCCACCTGGGGCGAACATTGTCAGTGGCATGTGGATCTTCAGGGTGAAGCGGCCGCCGGGCTCTCCGCCTGTCTTCAAGGCGTGGTACGTGGCTCGTGGCTTCAGTCAGCGGCAGGGAGTTGACTACTTTCAGACCTTCTCTCCCACCCCGAAGATGACCACTCTTCAGGTGCTGCTACACATAGCCGCTCAGCGTGACTACGAGCTTCACTCTCTTGACTTCAGCACTGCTTTCCTGCAGGGTAGCCGGCACGAGGAGATCTGGCTGCGCCGTCCACCTGGCTTCACTGGGACTTTCCCTCCTGGCACCCAGTGGAGCCTCCGATGGCCAGTCTACGGTCTCCGCCAGGCACCGCGCGAGTGGCACGACACACTGAGGACTACGCTTGCGGCTCTTGGGTTTGCTCCCTCTACTGCTGACCCATCGCTGTTTCTACGCACCGACACCTCTTTGCCGCCGTTCTACATCCTTTTGTTTGTCGACGACTTGGTCTTTGCCACTGCTCACACTGCTGGACTCGCCCACGTGAAGTCCGAGCTGCAGAAGAGACACACGTGCACAGACCTGGGTGAACTGCGCAGCTACCTTGGCTTGCAGATCACCCGGGACAGAGCACGCCGCACCATTACCCTGACTCAGTCACACATGGTGCAGCAGGTCCTTCAGTACAGTGGGTTGGAATTTACTTGAGTTACAGGGCGATATAGGTTGGCTTGGCTCTTTCCAAGGAGGTTGTTGATTCCGGGCGCACAGGAGTAGTTGGCGAATTTCCAATGCATGGATGGCGGTAGGATGACATGGTCCAAGGGTAGCTAGCTTATGCCAAGAGAAAACCACGGCCGATACATCATGGGAAGGCCTTGCATTTTACCCAAGGCTAGGCAGCCGTGGGAAAATTGGAATAAGGGAACGGGGAGGTAGTAGAAGGAAATTCCTGTTTTAGCTTGTTTGCATCGTTCATCATGATGCCACCCTTTTGTTCCTAATCGCAAAGCAACACGGAGGAGGGGACAGAGCAGGGAATAGCACGAGCTAGAGAGTGTGTGGCTGAGGGCGTGTCCAGATCGTTCATTTCGGATTTTTTAGTGCCAGCACACGTCTCGAGGTTCAAAAATAATCACTGTACCTAAAAACGAATGCA